TAGTATCGTACTAGTTAATATAGTAATATAGAAGAGACGAATGGTTGGCGCGGGTTCTTCAGAATTGTACACACGCATACACGAAATTTAATCAAGCATCTTCGAGTTTGACATTGGACTTTTCGATCACATTACATTTCACTGAGGGCTTCTGGACAGAGGGCGTCATTTCATTTTTTCAAGGGGGGGGGTGCAAAACCAAAATTTAGCCCGCTGGTTAAGTTGGTTATCATTGGAGGCACCACAGTACATATCAATTTAAATAAAACCTGCAAATTCGGGTGGGGGATGGCGACTTCCCTGCCCTGCCCTGCCCAAATGACATCCCTGCTCCCGGGGGTTAATCTATCTCTCCCTCTCACTTTTTCTATTTTGTCTTCCATATTCAGCCTGACTCCTAGCCAAATGATGTTCGTTTCATAGAGTCTCCGCGATTTTACATCTTAGTCTAGTATGACAGAAATTGACAGCGAAAAAATTTTAAAAAAAAACAACATACATTTTCATACCGGAATTATATGACTATATATTTACTGAGCATTTTAAAGTAAGATGTTTTGCTTGTTCAATCAAATCATAGGCCACAAGCGCACAAGCTCTGCTGCCAAACAGATGAAGCGAACTTTGAACTTTCCAGAGATTTTGAGCCTGGTGACGAGGCCTTTGATCAGCGGTTAATATATGGGCGTTAGCAACCAGTCCTCCTCCTCCCGTTGCTCCGATTGCGTCTGTTTCGCCGCCTCTGATTCCTCATGGGGATACACGCGTGCTTACAATAAGAGATAACCGAAGTCTATGTTTACATTTTCTCACGGGGGTGGATTCTTAAACTGTGAACGGCTCCAAAACTAAGCATTATGGTGTCCCCGGGGAAGCTATGGCTCCTGCGCCCATGTCCCTGTCGGGTGTCGCCCCTGCAGAGTTTCACCCATGAGTGGGGGGGGGGGGGCATAAATAAGCTGATCTTTTTTCCCTTTTTTTTTTCAGGGGCATTTTAAACCTGCTGTTTTGTCTCCGCCTTTTGTCCGTTGACCAAGTAGTGGTTCTTCCGCACAATTTGCCGGATTCAGTCTTTACATGCTATGGGGGACAACCCCTTTTTTTCCGAAAGTTCTATGCCCTTCGGCTACCCTCAACCTGGAATCGTCTGGGTTGTAGTCGCTGTGCATGTTACAGCTTCTTGGAACCACAGGTGAGAGCTGAGTACAGAGACTTCCGGCTGTTTCCGAACAAGATGGCTTCTTCCTATTCAGCCTAAAAGTAGATCTATATTGTAGTTGTAATTTAAAGAAGAAATACGTTGATAACAGCATAAATTCTGATCCTGAATGGAACCGCAAAACAATAAAAATTAATTAAAAGTTCGAATTTTCTTGCGTCGAAGCCAATTTCCAATAATTATCTTTAACAATCCCCCTTGCTTAACTGAAGCGCCTACACACTGAGATTCCTTCCTATTGTGTACCGCCATCTTGTCAACAAATAAAATAACTCCACACTCATAATCAGTCATGGATAAAACATAATATAACTGGGGCTGGTTATAAAATAAGAATCTGCTTAGTCTGATTAAAATTAGTCTTTAAAAAAACAACAACAACCCGTAAACGTTCTTCATTCAGCAGAGTATCAATATTTTGATGCAGCTTTAAAAGTTGCAAGATTGGACAGCATTTGGAATATGTGTTTAAAATAATGAGAAACAAATGTTGGGAAATTAACAAAAAAAAATTATAAACTGAAAATAACATAATAAATAATCTTATGGTTAGCGCGCATAAACAAGGCTTTTTAAAACAATTATGCCTTTAAATAAACAACACTGATGTTTGTAAGAGTAGCTCTTCAAACAGTTTTACCTGATCCGTGTCCCACCTTCCCTATTGCAGTCATGTCCAGGGCCCTGCGGTCAATGACCTCAGAGTCTCTACTTTCATAGCTGGCCATTTGGTACTTGCATTCCTCTTTGACCATAGTGCTAGTCGCCTAGCTTCCATGAAGTTTTGCCGTGCCTATTGTCTAAAAATAAAGCAATTTATTAATATAATATCAACAATTTAACCTTGATTTTGTATGGTTATGAGTGCAAAAAACATGTAAACTTAAAATATCTTAAAAGGGTTCATGACCCCCCCCCCCC